ATGAAGTTTCGAATAATTTCCAATACGAAGAACACGTTCTACTGATAATGAATCAAGAGTAAGACATTCGATATTGTGTTGAATTCGTTGTAAAACTAATAAACAGAATCTATCGAGTATTGAATTATCATATTCATTTGATAATGTTGTTACTAAATTGATAGACTGTGTAAAAGTAATATCTCGAGCTAATCTGTCAAGTTTTTTATTGACTCCTATGCATGAATATAATACATCCAGATTATTAAGTTTGTTTAAAATGTTGAGCAAGATTTCGTCGCATAGATCAACGATATTAAGAGTTGAATTGCTCATGTTGAATTGTCAATGACAAATATGTTGAATACAATCGTTTATATATATATATATATGTTGTAGGCAAAATTAGAATGTCAATTTTGCCTGAATGCTAATTTTGCGTATAACATATATGTATATTCATTCTATTTCATATCTGACGTCGTCAGCGAAGCTTATATAAAATAGTCCGACGATGAATATTGTGACCTTTTCAACATAGTGAAATTTTTTCATAGTTGAATGAAAACGTACCGTGAAGAATAGAATTATTGATAATAAATAAATCTATTTTAAACATAAGTTATTAAGATGTCATGTCTCATGTACTTTCATTCGTTTCTGGAATTTCTATGTTCAATATTTTCACTTCAAAACTAGCATTCTATTAAAATTGATATTTTTCTTTTGTATTCATATTTGAGAAATCTATGAGATAGTTGATAGAAATATGAAGTAGGATAATACAATGCATATTTGCGAATGTTTTTATTTTGCAATAATGATTGATAAATCTTCAAAAAAATGAAAGAAAATATCAATAATTGAATTGTTGAATTTAACTTTTGAATGTCAACATTCTCATTAATCATTCAACAAAATATTATATATCATGACCTGAGATTACCAAATCACTTTCTCATCAGTCTTGAGGGTGTGGGTGGGATAGCTTTGTTACACCCTCACGATGGATGAAAAAATTGTCATCACCCTCATCCACATTCTATCTCAACAATGAGAAAATGAGAAGAACAACAATTGTCATTCGACAAAGTGCATTTTTAAATTTCTCTCATTTAATATTTCTTCATTTAAAACGTTTCTTTCTGAATCTTTAAGATAAATCTACAATGAGTTAAACTGCTTAATGAAACACCACTATTCTTGTTGAGAAATTAAATTTATAATAGGAAAAACTTGAAATGATAATTCATTCGAATTAAGCTATTTTTTCGAAATGAAATAGCTGAAATTTTGTTGAGAAATTCCTGTTGAATCGAAATATTTGATCATTGAACAAATTCTTCTTTAATTCGTGTTAATTTTAATTGAAAAGCATTTAAATCAATTTCATTTTCTTCATGAATTTCTTTTAATTTCTTCGTTTTTGAAATATAAATGATCAATTTTTGTGTCAATACCATCAGTGTGTCTCGGGGTTCTTCTTTTAATTATGGAAATTGATTATAATCATGAATAATTTCATCTAATTGAATATTTAATAGTTGATGATGTTCTGTTAAATATTGAAAGAAAATCCTTTAAATATCTTCGGTAAATAGAACGTTATACTTCTATTATTTGTTGAAAAGTTTAGAAAAGAAATGAATGTTTGTTGTCTTTTTATATTGAGATAAATTTCAACATGGTGAAATGAGTCAAAGTTGATAAAAAGATCTGTAGGAAGAAATGTTATTTATGTTGGATAAGATATCTTTTCATTATAAAAATAATTTACTATTCAAATATATTGAGTTAAAAAGAAGAAATCCTCAGAGAAGATGAATTTTTCGTTGATTTTTCTTCTTTTATATTAAAATAAATCCAAATTGTCTTTTCATTTTCATTTAATGATTAAAAAGTATTTGTTTATAAAATGCTGAATAGATGTCATTGATTATTCGATTCTTTTTGTTTCAATTTACAATTTAATCTTCTTAAATATAACGATCAACGTTTTTCTATTGAAATTTCTCTCAAAAATATTCAGAAATGTGTTTAAATACATGATTAATCTAAAATTAATCGATTTCAATTTGAACAAAATAAAATGAAAATGTAATGTGAAAAATTTCACCTTGAAGGTGGGTGTGAGTATTAATTTCATACTCTTACTCACACCCACACCCTTGCTGTACTCTATCACAGTGACTCAGTGTTCTATCGTGCTTTTCTTTTTAAGCTTACTTACGCTTTCATAGCCGTCTGTGCAGCTTCGATAACTCACGCTGCATAAGAAAAATGCATCATCATTGTAGATAAAGCAGAGAGCTATAAATACTTTTGAAAGATTACGATTTCATTTTATGCAAGTTGGAAGAAACCAATCGACACTATTTTTTTATATATTTATTCACAAACCAGACTTCTCTTTTACGAGCTTTAAGTTTTAGAAAGAAATATTACATTTGATACGTTGGAATTTTAACTAGAAAATATCGAAGAACTGTTCGTATTATATACGTCGTTTTAAGATCGACTAATATATGTCAAACAAAGGCTTATTGAACAAAAGACGACTGATTTTCGATGATTATACAATTCTGTGGCTCGAAGTTGCAGGTGATTATTCCAAGCTTCAAGGGAAAATAAGAAAATTAATCGGTGACAACAATAATTTACATACGTTCACTGGCGCAGCTCAATGCTATGATTATTTGTTATCTTTAAGAGAAGAAAAAGTGCTTCTAATTTTATCAGGTGTTGCAAAGGACAATAAGGAGAAATGGTACGCACCACTTCAGACATTTGGATCACGTATTTTTATGCGACAACAGGTTATTCGTATTTACATCCTTGATTCACACATCACAACTCCCAGTATATTATATCCGCTCTGGAATAAAACACAAATTAAAAGTGATCAGGAAATCTTGTTCTTTGATACAGAAGGCACCTTGATCGACAAAGTGGCTAGTGATGTTTTACACCGAACACGGGACTTGAATGAAGAAACAGTTGTTATTTGCTTACGTCGCAGCGAGCAGCACAATAACACTCTTTTTAAATATCTAAGCCTTACGTCAATACATGCTAAGACACCATGTGCCGAATTCAAGACATTTGAAACTACTGAAGAGTGTCTGGATTATATTGTATCAATTCAACATAAAACCATATTTTTAATTACAGGTACGGACATTGCCAATATTTTTTCAATTTTTACTCTAATGCATTGGGACAAACAAGCATTCATGATCAAGAGGTTAGCCAGTATCTATCTTCTTGTGACAGATAAATACAGAGATCATTTCGACAACAGTTTTTATCGAGAGGTCTGTTATTCTATTAATGACAACACATTTTTGAATTATTTCGCCAAAGATATAGCACCCAGATCACCTTTGCTTGTACCACATGGAAATATTAACTTTACTGTGGACGAAAAACAAGTTTCAATGCACAATTTGAGAAAAGAGAAATTTTATTTACTGGTTGATATTTTGAGTAAAATACCACAAACAGAAAGTGCCAAACATGAGATGATCGAAGAATGCCGTCGATGGTATCCAGAGAATTTAAAAAATGAAAAGGAACGAAAGAACATTGATGAATTCGAACGAAACTATTCAAATTCAAAAGCATTTTCGTGGTATTCGCGACCCTCATTTTTGTATAGATTGTTGAACGAAGCCTGTCGAACAGAAAATATTGATTTAATGTATGCATTTCGTTATTATATTTCGGACCTTTATAGTCAGTTAGAAGCTCGGCATGCTAAATATGTAAAAGAACTATGTGGTATAACAATAACAGTCTTTCGAGGACAGAACATGTCTATAAGTGAACTGGAAGAAATTCGAGAAAATATTGGTAAATATTATTCAACAAACACTTTTCTGTCGACATCTGCAAACCGAGACGTTGCACTATTTTTCTTGGGTGAAAATGTGCAGCCGACATTGGAAATTGTACCCGTTCTCTTGTCCTATTCGATTGATACTAATCTGAAGACAAAACCGTATGTAGATATTCGACATGAAAGTATAAATATTCATGAACAAGAGTTTTTACTTTCAATGGGTACAGTATTCCGAACTGATTCAGTTGAACTGTTGCCAGATAACAATATTTGGTGTATCGCCTTGAGTATAGTAAGTGATTTTGATAAAGACGACGAATTTGAAGAGGAATTGCAATTGTTTAATGATGAAATTCAATCAACATCGATACTAGTTGTACTAGGTGATTTTCTTTGTGGTATGAATGAATTTGTCAAAGCAGAGCAGTATTATCTCCAAGCTTTACATGAATACGAAACAACATCAAACTTTGAAGAAGAAACAACAGTAAAGACGAGAACAATGAGTTCTAATATGTTGATTGAATTATATCGACGATTGGGTGAAGTCTATTGGAAGAAAGGAGAATATTCATCTGCAGTGGACTATTATGAATTGGCACTGAGTGCTTGCTCAAAGTATCAAGTTGACAACAAGCTGTTGATCGGAACAATATATGAAGCTATGGGCGACATGTACTTAGAGATATGTGATCACTCAAATGCAGTCAAAAATTATGAAGCATCAATGAAATCCGAAGCATTAGATCCTATTTTTCTGGCTATTATTATGAACAAACTTGGTTCTGCTCATGAAAAACAGAATGACTGGCGGTTAGCTGTCTACTATTATACGGCAGCTACTGAATATGATCCTACATGCGAGCAATACGCTAAGAATATGAAGAATGCAAACAATGAATTGAAAATAAAGCAACGCTATTCGAATCAATTCTGGAACTTTCTTTGGTTATTTATTGTTAGCAGTTTATGTTGCGTCAGTTACATATGCTTTAAGCAAACGTTTTTCACCATATTATTTCCCCCATTTATCTTTCACGAACATAAATGGTATATTAATACTCTAATCTACTGCATCCTCATGTTAGTGTGTGACTTAACACGCTCATTATACAAAAGTAAATTGATACAATCGCAAGTGCATGTTATCCGTGGAATTGTTTATTTGTGGTTGATGCTAACAGATTTTTATTGCTTCGCTTTCATCTATACATCTTTTAGCACCCTCATAGGAATGCGAAGATTGCGTTATATGGCAAATTGCTACGAGGAGCTTGTTGTAGATAGTTCAGACTATTTTATTGAATTACTGGGGCGTTCGCAGGTGCTCTTCGTCAGGTATTTATCGCGTTTCCTATTGAATAAACGAAGATTATTTGTCAATCAAGTTATCATTACAGTAGTAATTGTGCGTGTGGTCACTACTGTTTGTCTTCTATATTTATGTTGTGCCCTTTTTCTTCGATTAAATAAGATTGTATCATTATGGTTTGCGATTTATTATACAATGCTGTTTCTATTCTGCTTATGCAACGTCGAGAAGGAGAAGCAGTTTCGTATATCATTGATTCCTTTTTGTATTCTACCAATAGTCGGTTTGTTTATGGCCCATTTCTTTTATTATACCTTGATTCTCGTTTTTGTGCACGAATTAGCACTGAAGTTTAGCATCATATATTTAGAACAATCATTACTAGTTGAACAAAAACTATGTGACAACCCCAACACGATTACACCTCTGCTGCTGCATATGCAGCCGTATAAAAAACAGCTGCGACTAATTGAGGAACTATCTCAACAGAACTCGTCGACAACTACAACTGCGTCATTGACTTTACGCTCACGCGAAAAGCTACATCACAAAATAAAAACAGATTAGTGCTTATGAAGATATATCTCCAAGTGGTAAATTACTTTTCACTGGAAACAGTTTCACTAAATATATGAACGATCGCTCTAACAAGTTTTTCTTTTATGTTTTTTTTTCTATATTTCTTTTGTGCCATCTCTTACATATGTGCGGTCCTTTACAATGAATTATTTAAATTTTAAGTTGAAGTTTTCTTGTTCTGTTTTCCTGCCTAAACATTAACTCGATCAGTGATCAATGGATATGTTCTCTTTAGCAATACAAGGCATAGACTAACTATCTTTTATGCCACTATCGATCGTAACAACGCTGGCAAAAACGCTATGATTATGCTAGTAAAAAATATTGGTTATAATTTGAAGATTCTAGATTGACGAAGAAAGAAAACTAATTACATCAGTCTTTTTTTTTTGAAATGGGCATTAGCCCTGACTTCATTCTTTTTTTTGGAATTGAATCGAATTAGAGACTTAACTGACTGATGAGACTCAGTTGCTTCAGTCGAAACGCGTCGTAGCAGGTTGTATTCACCCCTAAGCTAGTTCTTACTGAACTTTTAATAGATCGATATTAAATGTATTGAATGTTTAGGGTGTGGGTGCGAGTGTGAATAGGATACACCCACACATATCCACACCCACACCCACAAATATTTGAAATATATATAATACTCTCTAATACGTTATAATAATATTAACATATAAATATGAAAACAAAAAAATTGTAAAAAATTTACTGATATTCGATTATTATCATATAAAATTTGATTAATAACGATAACAACTGTTAAAATAAATCTTTGATCTTCATGTTCTATTATTTCTATACCATATATATCGGTTAAAAAAATGAATACTTTTCTGGTAGTTGACACTACTTGTCTTTATTTTGTTAATACAAATGAATGAGCAAAAATATAAAGTCTTTCGACAGAATATCGATCATAGACAGATTCGGTGTTAAGTTTTATGTGGCTAAATAGAAAATTTCTTTTTAACAGAAGCTAATTATTGATGCTTAGAGTTGAGGGTGTGGGTGTGAATATTCTACTCATTGCACACCCACACCCACCCTCGATTCGTTAAGACGATTTATTATTTTTGTGATAATTGAAAGAAAAAGATAGTTCTAATTAGTACAAGAAAATTTTCGAAAAGATTAAATTATAATTTCACAAGAATTCGTTTTAAAGTGCAATATATAACTTTATTTTAATATTTATAAATGTTCTTCGTATGCATCACGAATAGTAAACGAATCAGTACTGTTATGACGTGAAATTTGTTCATGATTAGTTGATGAAAATTCTTCTTTGATATTATTAGGAAGACCATTTTTATGTAATTTACAATGCCTACAAACAAACATATTAATTTATTCAATTTTTTTCTCAAATTAATCAAACCAAATATCTTTTGCATATTCTTCAATAGTTCGATCTGATGAAAATTTTGCTGCTGCTCCAATATTATGAATACATTTTGAGTGCCATAATTGTGAATTAAGAAAATCTCTTGATACTTCATCTTGTTTATTAATATAGGCTTGATAATCACCCAGTACCATCCAATGATCACCATCACGTAATAATGTATCAATAATATCATGAAATCGTGATCGATCATCTGGTGAAAAATATCCATCACGTATTTGATCAATAGCAAGACGTAATTCTTCATTCTTTAAACTTTCATATGGATCATAACCTTGTTGTCGTCGTTGTTGAACTTGTTCAACAGTAAATCCAAATGTATACATATTTTCAGCTCCACATTCTTCAAGCATTTCAATATTAGCTCCATCTAATGTTCCTATTGTTAGTGCACCATTAAGCATAACTTAAAAAAATATAAGAAGAAACTTATTTTATATGTTAAAATCAAATTCACATTTCATATTGCCTGTACCACTTGCTTCTGTGCCAGCTAGAGAAATTTGTTCGGAAAGATCAGCAGCCGGAATAATATATTCTGCTGCTGTTACACGATAATTTTTAACAAATAATAATTTTAATTGATTGCCAATATGTGTATCATTATTGATGACATCTGCAACATCATTAATTAATTTAATAATTTTTTTAGCAATTGCATAACCTATCAAAGATACAGATTTAATAGAGTAGAAAAACAATTCAATGATTTAAACCAGGTGCAGCTTTGCCACCAATGATAATAGTTCGTGGTACAACTTTACTATTTTTCTTCAATCGATTGTAGAGTGTAATAACTTTAAGAAAATTATAAAAAGATTATTTTTCAATTGAATTTACCATGAAGTAAACAAAGGAGTGCTCGTTTATATTCATGAATACGTTTTATTTGTACATCAAATATTGATTGAATATTAATTTCAATATTATATTCATCTTCAAGCATATGAGCTAATCGTAATTTATTTTTCATCTTGAAAAAAAACATATATATGAGATCTTTTTGTTTTCTTTTCTAAATGAGTACTTTAATTTGTTGAATACGTAGAAGAATATTTTTATTTAAAGCATATTGACGAAAAATTTGAAGTGATTGATAATCATTTCGAATAAAATCTTCACCAATACATTCCATAATTAATGAAAATAGATCAGGATTACAAAGTGCAAGCCATCGACGAAAAGTAATACCATTTGTTTTATTTTGAAATTTTAACGGTGTTAATTCATAAAAATCTTTAAACATAAATTCACGTAAAAGTTTTGAATGTATTTGTGCAACACCATTAATAGTATGAGAACCAATTATAGATAAATAAGCCATATTAACTAATTGAATAGATCCTTCTTCAATAATTGACATACGTCGAATACGATCATTATCAGATGGAAAATGATTTCGTATGTTTTGTAAATGTCGTGCATTGATTTCATAGATTATTTGTAAATGACGTGGAAGAAGTTCTAAAAGAAAAAAACTTCGTATCATGAGTTATTCATTAACAACAAACTTTCAATCATTTGAACTGGCCATCGTTCAATTGCTTCTGGCATTAATGTATGATTTGTATATGCAAAACAGTTAACTGTTATAGACCATGCATCATCCCATGATAAATGTTCATTATCAAGAAGAAGACGCATTAATTCAGGTATAGCTAATGATGGATGTGTATCATTTAATTGAATAGCTACCTAGTAGAATATTTAAATAAGAAATAAAATAAGTTCGTTTTTATTTACCATTTCAGGCATACATTTGAAATCAATAGATGTATGTGATTGTTTTCCTGGTACTTGTAAATTAGATGTTGTTTGCCAACGTTTTTCACCTTTAAATCGCCGTAAAATATCATGTAAACTAGCTGCAATTAAGAAATATTCTTGTTTTAAACGTAATTCACGTCCCTCAGCAATATTATCATTTGGATAAAGTACACATGTAATACCTATTTTTATAATTATTTATTGAGAACAAAAATAAAATAAAAGATTTTACGTTCAGCTTTATTACGTTCCATAACTGCAGATATATATTCACCTTCATTAAATGATTTAAAATTAAAATCACAATCAGCTTTAGCTGAAAATAAACGCATTGTATTGACAATCTACATAAAAAAAATCATAGAAAATAAAAAGAAATGAATATTTTCTCACATTATTCTTATAACCAGGTACTGGATAATCATAAGCTTGAGCAATTACTGTTTCATAATCAGTCCATTCATAACTTTTAGTTGATTCATTCCTAATAACTTTGCCATAAAAATGTATAGGAATTTCATTTTGATTTCGTCGAATCTATTTTAATTTATTTAATTAAATCATATGAATAAAAGAATAATTTACTTCCCAAGGCATTGAATGTCGAAGCCAATCATCTGGTACTTCAACTTGCCAACTAAATTCTCGAAAAATAATTATATAAATCAAAAAATTTATATTTACCCATCGACAATCTGTTGTTTAAATATTCCAAATTGATATCTCAAACCATATCCATATGATGAAATACCCAATGTAGCCATTGAATCAAGAAAACAAGCAGCTAAACGACCAAGACCACCATTACCTAAAGCTGCATCATCTTCAAGTTCTTCAATATCATTTAATTTTATATTAAGAGCTTCAGCTGCTTGTATCATTTGTTCATTAATATCAAGATTAATCAATGTATTTTTCATATATCGTCCAATATAAAACTCTAAACTTAAAATAAATCATCCATTGATTGTAATATATATATATCAACAGAAAATCTACCTAAGATAATAAACTCGTTTACCACCTATCATTTGATAAAATTGTTGTGTACGTATCCAGTTTTTAGCAAGAATATCTAAACACAAATAGAGTGTATTCTTTTCATATGATAATATTGATTCATTTAACCTCGTAGAGCTTGTGATAATGCTAAATAATATTCTTGATAGCTTGAATGAAATCGATCAACCATTAATGTTAAATGTAAATGTCGATTAAAATTATCCACAAGACTATAATTTAGATTTGTTTCTTTTTTTATGTCAAATCAGATAATTTACTTAAGGATTGTTTCAATATTTTTTATTTGATGTAATGAAACTCGTAAATTTTGTGCTTCTTTTTGACGATGAAGTTCTTCTTCTTCATCAGTTGGTACATAACGAACTGATACAAAAGAACTACGTGAACGTCGTTTTTGACCTCCACCGGCACTCATCGAAATAACAGAAACAAAAAAAAATATAATATTTTGCGCACTTTTTTTTATATCTGTATATAATATATTTCGTATAGCTTAATTTCGTAACAAAATAAAAAAGGAAAAGAGAAAAGAAAAACAAATATTGAATTAATAGAAAAATACAAGCAAGAATAAATGAAAAACAGTAACAGATCTATCGTTCCACAAGAGATTGTAACCACTCGATATGCGTTGATACATTAGTCATAGCTGAATATGCTTTTTGAAAACCTGTTTTTGACATAACGCCAGCAAGTTGCCAATGAGTATTATTATCAAATAACATTGCACCTGCTCCAGAATCACCCTTTCAAAGAAAAAAACAAATATTTAACATTCATTCATTAACAATAATTTACCACGCCTAATACACTGGAATTATTCGTAGTGATTGCACAGAAAGCATCTTCAGCAATATCATTTAATTGTCGTTGACATTCAGCTTGATATTGATGATTATCAAGTACACGAATATTTAATTGTTGTTGAATAGAATCATCGTCTGTATGACTATATGAAACAACTTTTAATATATTTTGATCGTGAACATTAACAATAGTTGGTAAACAAATCCAATCAAGCTTTGATGAACGTTCAATACGTTTAGTTAATTTAATTAAAGCAATATCATTTTTAACAGTAGCATGTTCTGTATCAAGAGTTTGATAATCTGAATGCTAAAAATAGATTTGTAAATCTCTTATTTATATTCCATAAGAAAATATATTTAAATACAAACTAATGTAAAATTTGCAATTGAATATGATTGACTTTGAAGAAAATCTGTACTGTTCAAACTAAGATTATGTACACCTATACGTATATCAAATATATCTTTAAATAAACTCGGTTCACGTGTTAATTCCCATTGTCTAATATAAATTAATAGAGAAAAAAGTGAAAATTAAGAATCATATGATTTGAAATATACTTTCGAAAATGTTGTTCGTCAAGACAATGTGCTGCAGTTATAATATTCCAACTAGAAACAAGAGAAGCTGAACAAACATAACGTGGTTCACTATTATAATAATCTGATTTAATTAATAAAGCAGCAATCCATGGAAACTGTCCTGTTTCGACGGATTGACCATTAATCATACGTGTTCTTCGAACATGATTATTAACTAAAACAAAAATAATGTCATATTTTTTTGAATTCTTTTATTCGGTCACCCTTTTTCAATTTATTTTTTTTTATTGATTTTTTAATCGCATTTAATCGTAAGCTTGTATTAGCAATAGCAAAAGCAGTTACTGTCGCAGATAAATCAGTTGTTAAAAGTAGATTAGTATAAGCAAATGATAACATACCGTTCGAACTTGAATTTGTATAATCATAACCACATTCTAATTGAAAATAACAATGTCATTGATCATTTTATATAAATATCTTACCAATACATTGATTTGTTATTGTTTTTATACAACATGCAAACGATCCATTACGATCTTCACAACGTGAATTTATATCACAAGTTGTATTGGATTCTGCACATTCATTTATATCTATGAATAAAAATTAGTTAGATTAATTAATTAACATTATATATATATATACTTATGCAATTGTTATGTCCATCTCGTCGATAACCTCGAGCACAAATACATTTGTATGAGCCAGGTATATTTTCACATATTTCATTATTACCAGTACAATTATTTGATAGTAAACATTCGTCAATATCTACATGAAAATTCTAAAAATATTTCAGATTACTTTTGGTATTAATTTACCATCACAATGCAATGGATTGAATATATCAGGTGTAAAACCTGGATTACAAACACATGTAAAACTACCATTATTATTTATACAATGACCATTTGAACATCGAGTGCCATCAAGACATTCATTGATATCTTAAAAGAAATACAAAATGAATATATTCTATGAATAATACTTGAATAGTTACCTTGACATATAATCCCATTAGATGATACAATTGTTTCATAGCCAGATTGACAAGAACACTATAGACATAAAACCTTTAGAATACGATTCAATATTCAAAATAATCTCACAGTATAACTTCCAATTGTATTATGACATATTTGATTTTCACCACATATATGTGAATTTCTACATTCATCAATATCTATGAAAATTATTAATATTAACATTTAATATTTTTTCTATAATTGTATACCTTCACAACGTGTTAAATCATTATTACTAGGTGGATGATGAAAGCCCATTGTACAATGACATTCATAACCTGTGCCATTAAATTTAATACATGGAAATTGTCCACATACAGGTGGTTCATATTCACATTCATTAATAACTAGGTAAAACAAAGAAAATTTAAAAGTCGATTTATTATTTTACTTAATATACATTGGCATTCACAATGAGTTGAATTTAAATGAACAAGTCTTTCACTTGGATCACATGATAGATGACATTTACTTTTATGTTTTGAGTAAAATATACCAAAACCAATACCAAGACCAATAGCAACAAGAATAATAAGAGTTAAAAGTACAAATATATACCAATATTTCGAACATATTCTAGATGCTATTAAAAAATTGTTATTATATCGGAGAAGAAAAAAAAGTTATTTCTAAACCTTTTCCATTATTTTTTGGATTTTGAAATGTTTTTTGAACATTATATATATTCTGTTGTGGTGTTCGCATTGAAGGTCCACGCGAATCAACACCACTGATATCACTTTAAAAAAAAACATATATACAATAAAATAATATTCTTAAATACCTAAATGCTGCATTATTATAACCATATATATTATCTTGACCAGATCGATATGAATAAGTAATATTATTTTCACGATTAGATTTATTTAAATCAGTCGGTCGCAAAACAACTCCACGACTATCGAATGGAGCATCATGCGACGTAGCAGCATATGGATCATTGATATATGAAATTCGATCACGACCATCCGATATGTAACTTAAATTATCAAAGTGTTGTCGATTGGGATAAATGCCGGCACTCATGTTCCGGCTTTGTGCATGACTAGAAGGACTAAAAAAAACAGAATATGTCTATTAAATAACATCATTGATACACGTGTTCTAATGATTAACCAACTAGATATATATATATGCTTTTTAAAAGTTATTTTTGTTTATAACTGAAGGGCAATTTTATATTGTGTTAAATGCAAATTAAATATGTATATTGATAGATATATATTCTGTTATCAAGAGTAGACAAAAAAAAGGAATATAAGATAGAAGATGACGCATTGATTTCTAAGCTCACCTTCTTTATTTCAAACTTTCTTTTTCTACTCTTCATTCAATATAGTCCCGTTGTTAGGTCAAATATGTGAAGAAAAATGTAAAGTGTGTGCATAAGACGGGAGAGAGAACAACGGTCGGATGAATGGAAATAAGAACGGTAAAAAAAAATGAAGACGAGTTTGAAAAGAGCGCGCACGTAGAATAAAGAGAACAGAAGAAAGAGAGAGGAGAAATTCTGGGCACTTGCATCTAACTCTATGAAGTACAGAACAAACTAAATGGACGAAAGCTTCATATCGAAAAAGGAACATTGAATAGTAGGACAGTCTATTCTTATTGTTCTTTCGTTCTGTTGTTCTTTTACTATTCAAATTACTAAATGAACAGAATGAAAGCATGGGAGAGAGTTAAATCACGATTACATCGTTCGAATTCAACGATCTATAACATCGTAGTGTCAGTACAATTCGGTGATTTATATCATAAATTATTTAATACATAAAAAAGCATACATTATTATATACTTGATATAACCTCCTACGAAAGTCGTTACTTTAAATGTATTCTCATGTTCTATGACTCACACATGTTACATAAAAAAGCAAGCAAAATGAATCAGATTTTTTTTAAGTTAAAGAAAAAAAGACGACGATGTTAATGTAGACTTCATTTCTTATGTAACAAGATATTCTTTTTTACATATAATCATTTCCTATAGGCACACATCGACATCCGCATTGTTGACAATTTTTTGTACATATTTGAATATATATTACTTGTATTTATACAATATATTATTGATATCATGTGCTAAAATGGAAAACTAAGATATGCACAACGAAAAATATTATATTAAGAATGAATACTAAAAAAGATAAATGAAATAAAAATACAAAGTGAAACAAGATTTATTCTTGAGGTTGATCTAAATCATGATAATCTGTCATATAATTATGATAACTATTTGATAAAAATCTATTTTTTATCTTTTGTTGTTGTAGAAAAGCAGTTGATTTTGTATAATTATTATTTTTCGTATTTATTGATGATAGAAATGATTCTGTTGAATTTCTAATTGGTAATGTATTGATATGTTTCTATAGAATGAAGTCTTTATTTTAAAATATATTCAAAAAGAAAAAAAAAAGAAAAGATCTCCCATTCTATTCTATTCACAAAAAGAGAACAAAGAATAAATGTAAAATAAAAACAAAATACAAATGATTAGCAATCAAAAAACTCACATGAATTGATTTTTCTTTTTTATCTTTGGAAATTTTTTTATCAAATGATATATTTGATTTCAGTTCAATGGATTGATTTATATCAGTTGATAATAAATCTGAAAAACGTGATTTTCGTCGCTTTTTTTTGTTGCGATCAACATCTTTGATTATAAAAATGATATTCAGCAACACTAAATTCATTTAATTTATTACAAGTACTACTTGTTATTATTTGTTTCTTATTTTTATCATCTTGATGATCATCATCATCAACATCCATATTTTCTTCTATTAAATTATCATCTGTTACTCTTGTTGTTGAAACAGCAGACGTATTTCCATGTATCATTTGCCATTCAGTCAGAGCAATGCGATGATTATCAATAAATTGTTGAATTAGATCGTCACGTTTATGGGCTTTTAATATTTCTGTAGTTGATATGAAAATTGAAGAAATATTATCTGCAGTTGAAGAATGGCGCATACGTTCGAGAGAGTCGCTTATTAATTTAAGTAAATCTTCATTGGCACTAAATTATTTTATATTTAGATCATCGATAAGTTGTATTCAGATATATTAACTTACTATTGAACTGACGTTCTTTCTGTGTTAATTGATTGCATTGCTCTATTTTTATTTCTTAGTAAGCGTGGATCTCGTATTATAGTTGTATCTTGTAATGCAATAGGTTTATATATTAGATTATTTAATAGCTGATTTTCATTCGAACGATTTATTGATTTTGTACGTCTTTTTTCAGTTCCAATAATAACAAGAAATAATTGTTTGGCTTCAAATTGAACAGGTAGAAATAATGATGATAATACATCTGATGAACAATCTTTTGTATCAGCTGCTAAAATATACATATGACGAATACGTGATGTAGCACTACATTTACTAATCACAGCAGCTCGTTTTGATCCCTCTATTATATCATAATATTGTAGAAAAATATCATTATCAGTAGTATTTGATGATGATGATGAAGTCAATGTTAATATAATAATATCACGAATAGCAAGTGATACATGAATATAATCCCAAAGATCTTTTAATCGAAGTCGTCCAAGAATAATAAGTTGTTCAGGAATATTGTCAATTAGATAATTACTTTCACCATAAACATGAACAGATTGACATGGAATTTTTATATCAGATGGACGAATAAGTCCACGCCATTGATTTGGTAAACGAGTATTTGATGTTGATGGTTGTCTAAATATTAATAAGAACGAAAATTATTAGCCCTTAAAACAGTTGTCAAACACGCAAACCTAGCTCTTAGAATGTGTAATTCTTCAAGCCTAATTAGTTACTCGAATATTTATATCTTCTGATATCATTAGAAATAATCCTAAACTATAGTTTAGAACAACTTTGCACGCTTTTAACTCTTCTACTAAGGTATTCTGACATTAAAATATCATTAGAGTGAACTTACAGTGATTCTGAATCATATTAGAAACTCACGCGCACAAAAAATTATGAAGATCATATTCCACCAAGGCCATCTGGGTGAAAAAAATATTTAGTCACACCCAGTAGTTCTAACCACGGTAGGTGCATATTGAGGGTCCAAAATCTCTATTCTCTTCGGCTTTTAAGGGTTAAAGTTTTACATAGAAAAATCAAAAACAATTTACATAGGTAATGTTTCATTTTGAACTTTTGATGGATTATAATCATCACGAACAACATGTTGATAAGGATTAGTATCTTCCGTATTATCAGTAGGTGATTGATTTAAATTATTAGTTAAATCATCTTCATCATCATCATAAATTAATGCATCGGCGCCAGTTGGACTTTCTGGTTCAATATAATCATTATCGGAATCATCTGCTACACGTGAAGAATTTATGGGTTCAGTTATTGAAGTTGGAGGTAAATCTTTCAAAGATTCATTTGAATCAATTGTTTTTAATACAGGTGTATACGGAAGATTTTCTATCAAAACAAAAAGAAAAACTATAACAAATTTATTGAACAAAAAAATCTTTACCGGAAACTGTTAATTTAAGTTTTTCATTTGAAATTGAAACAATTGGTGTGGAATTTTTATCAATATCTTTTTGAGAACTATTTAACAATTGTTTATCTTTAGTTTTATCAATATTATCTTCGGATACACTTTTCTCTTTCTGTAAAATATAATAAATAAATCAATAAAAATTCTTTTTCTTTGATTTTCTTACTGATTTGATCATTGAGAAAAATATATGATTATCAATAAAACCTTGTTGAATAATTTTAAGTCTTGCACGTCTTGCCATTTCTTCCGCTGTCTGTTGTTCAGCATTAATAATCATTTGAACTTCTTTTTCAAATTGATCTTTACGTTTTTCTTTTTCCTCTAAAATAAAACAAAACAAAATAAAATATTTTTCTTACACAAAAAACTACCTGGTGGTAACATATCTTCAGCTTTCATTGCAACAATTTCTTTCGCTGTGATTTCATTTGAAAGAATTTGTTTATAAAAAAACTATCAAAATATGTAAATTTTATCAAAAATATTTTTGTTCTATATTTAATATACATTATTATTTATATTACTAATATTCGCAAGTAATGAACGAAATTTATTTTTATATGAATTATCAACTTTACCATAAACACGAAACATTTCCTGTTCGATTTTATTAATTATTACTTGAATATTTTCATTTATGAGATTTTCTTCACCATTTTTTTTCAATCTAAATTTATTAAATCAAAATATGATCAATCACGAAACATTACATACCGTAGTAGAATTTTGTCATATAAAGTTGTTGTAACTTTTGATCGAATATCATCAGTATTATCAGAAATTTTATTATTTATTTGTTTTCTAACTTGTATCGGATTCTTTTTAATCGGTATTGATTTAATATTAGATGTAATTGACGAAGATACAACTTTTGATTTATTTGTATTATTAATCGATGATAATGATCGTGTTAAATCTTTCGGTTGATTTTTTAATAATAGTATTGCTTGTTTTGATGATGATCGAAGAATTTTATATGATGGATGTTGATTCATCCAACGAGATAAATCTTCTATTTGAGGAACTAAGTTTTTTTCAAGGATTTTGTTAGTTTTACATTCATATAATAAAATATCTTCACGAGATGGAATTTCTTCATTATCCTAATTTGATTAAATAAGATAAAATCCAATTAGAAATTTTTTATAGTACTACTTTGCTTCGTTGAATAGATTGTAATGTATCATTAATATGACGACGAATACAATCAGATGAACAATACATCCAATCTGATTTCGATTGATTATTACAATTTTTAACAATACAATTCGTTTGTATTTTCTAAAATATGTGAGAATTTTTTCGATTTCAAATACATATTTTCATCTATAATATTTACTATGAATGAATCTTGTTGAAATGAACTATTTCGCTTTAGTTTTTTCTTTAATCCATTGTGTAAAACACGTTTTTCTTTAGTTTTTGAAGATTTACGATGGAAATGTTTTCGTTTTGTTAGAATTGATTTATCCGTTGATTTCACGGTAGAATGTGATACATCTAGCAATATGTTTAAAATAATAAATGTACTTGCCATGGCTCTATTAAGGAATCTCTTATGAAAATAGATAGCTTCTCTATTTTCGATGTAGATTGAATCTTAGAAATGTTTCGTATCTTTTTATTATAGAACATAACATTACCTTGACATAATGGACATATAAATTGATCAGTATGCATTTCAAGTATTTTCGCTTGCTCTTTAGTAATTCCAATACTAGAATTCGCAAAATAAAACAAACCTTTTTCCAGTTTTAGTATGAAACAAATCGAATTCATTTACCAATCACCATGATACCAATTAGCACATGAATCACAACGTAGCATAAGTCTTGAATGATCCCATGGTTTTTGACATATACACCAAAGACGACGATGTGCTTGATCATCATTATCATCTGATTTTTCACCATCATCACCACCATCATCATCACTATCATCAATTGATAAATCAATGATATCGTGTGTATTGGAATTACTAGAACAGGGCCGCATATTATTCTTATTGAATGATGATGAACCAGGAAGAGAAAAGATGGATTGATGAATCTCCTCATACATTCCTCGTTCGAGAGCACGATAATTTAATTTTGTTCGATTAGTACGTTGCGGATATGTTTTATGATTATTTTCATATGCGCTAAAATCATTGATATTCTACTCGTTTCTGATAAGAAGAAGAATAAATAAACTTAACTGTAAATCTTTTGTTGAATCACTTTTTTTAACGTTTGATATACAGTGAATATTTGTATTATTGTTAGACAAACCTGCAATTTATGGAATAAGAAACAAGTGACTAATGGAAATATGAAGAGAAAAAGCCACTGCTATATGAAAACGAAATAAGAATATTTTCACACCTGTTGAAGAATGATTAATCATGTGTAAGAAAAACGAGAAGATAATGTAAATAACTCGTCTTAGTAACAATAAAATCTACTTTTTATTTGCTAAACTACATAAGTATTTTTCGAAATCAAATTTAGCGCGAACAAATCAATCATTCAATTTTCATTTCGTTCTATTAAATATCACATCGGAATTTAAATATCTAACGTCGAGTTAGTTAGCTAGTTAGTTATTTGTTAATATAATTCATTTTGATAGATGAACATCAAATGAGAATTGTTGGGTAAAATTGGATATTCGTGTTTTTATTGTGCCTCAGTTGTGAATATCCTTTATTACTTACCATCGTAAAATATTCGATTTTTTTTGTCATACATATAATGTTTTTTCTATTTTCATATGAACTGTAAATCTATTTATGAACGAAAATTTTTCGATATTACAAAAGAGGTCGCCAATATTCAATTTAAATAAGTTTTAGTATTTAATCTACCTTTAACCAGTGCAATAAAATAAAAATAGATTTTGTTATCTATTATCATATCTTTTAAAAAAGTATCGAGCATGCATATATCGATTTTGAATTGTTAATTGTAGTAAGCAATTTTATAGCGAGTTTGATGATTATTTACCTTTCGGCATACCCTTTGAAATATTATTCATATACTGAATATTCTTCGAAAAACGACATTTCCAAAATTTCAAATGAAATATTGTTAGAACAGTTAGAGATGTGAGTATCTATTGTTCTTTAGATTCATAAATTTAAACAAAAAATTGTCCTATATTTTATCAATCATATGATGACTAATGATTAGTAACAAGTTATTGGCCTTGTTTTCAATTCGTTTGCGAGTAGTAAGTTGTTCATGCACTCGATATGTATCTTTTTTATCAATAACCAATCATTTATCAAGCTTATTTGAGCGTCGTTAGGTCTTGATGATAGTTATTCATTGATTTTAGTATTTGTTAAGAATATTTCATATAGAAAAACAGAAGATTCAATACGAGAAATATTTTATACAATCGAACTTGTCTTATCATTTTATATTATATTTAATTATCAAACAGAAAATTCCAAAATATATCTATAAATACAAATCGGAATTTAAATGTCATATTAGATGGAGTATTCTAAAATATGTGTATGAACAATCAATGAATGATTGAATTATTTTATTTTTATTTCATAGTCCATCATAACAAGTTATTGATATAATAAAATAACTAGGTGGCACACGAGTTGAGCTTGTATGCAAAAAATTGATGCGAAACCTTTTCAATTATCACAAAAGTAATAAATCGTACATAAAAATAGTTTTGTTTATTATTCTTTCTGTAAACATTGAATCAACTTCTTTTAAAATAATCGAATTACTTCATTCTTTTCTTAAGAAAAAGAAATCTTACGGAGGAATATGTAAATATTGTGCTCTGCATTACATTCAAAGCTTCCAATGCGTCAAAATACAAATATTTCATATATTAGCAAAACTCTTTAGATTTTTAATTCTTCAATGTCGAATGAAAAGCTCTTTTTATGAGCAGTAGATCGAGAATAAAATATTTTTGTAAGATAAAATATGATGGAGAAGATGATTGAAAATTTATTTTTTAAAACATTTTCTAAGTCGTCTAATTATTAGTTTCTTACATATTTAATCACTTATTCATTTTCGGTGAATTATCTTGACTCAAAATAAAAACAAAAATATACATTCATCTATCAGAATAATTCTAAAAATGAAAGATTAAATGATAGTATAAAATAGGGCATAGTATCTAGGACAAGAATAAATAGAGTAAAATTTAGTTCTTTTTTGTGGATAGATAGATGTAAATAAGAACATAATATATATTGCTTACTTTTCATATCCCAAGAGATTCATAGGAAGTTAGCTTTATTTCGTTTTTACTTTATTCTTTTTCATCCTTTGTAATTCGTTAATTATTCTTACTATCTTCAGTGTGAAAATAGAGGAAAACCAGTATTTATACTCACACACTCTCAAGATGGTTAAAGAGTAAAATGCATTTTTATAGATACTCTATTTTTAAGAGCTTCTTTAATAATGAAAGGTGTGTTTTAAATAAAAAATACCTTTCTAACAGTGTCTTCTAATATATTTCTTTCTAATCTGCTTTTCTATAGACTCTAATAGTCATATCATTGTGGAATGAAATGATCAATGAAACAAATGGTTTCTTTAAGATTGCTAACTGTATCTGTAGAAGCTTTTCTGTTAATAGAGTTCATTTATTCATGTAACATATTCCCGATTGAAAGATGAGATTTCTGTTGTTATTTGATCTTATCTATTTAAAAAAATTGTAAGACAACTATTGCGTATTTCTAACAAATAATAGTTATCTATGTGATGTTTTTCTGTAGTAGAGAATGGTGACTAAAGATAGATATGGCTGTGAATATTTTATTCATCGTCATTGATACATCAACCCACAAACACGGTACAATACGCTAAATTTCTATTGATATTTACAATCTGTATCATATTCCAATAAGCTTGTTATAGTAAAACGCAAATTGTTTATTTTAGTTCAAATGCATAGAAGATATATTTTATATTTGCTAGTAACTCAGAATTATCGTCGCAATACATATTAAATGTGAAAAGAAGCTGTTTTATTTAGTCTTTCTGTAAAAATTACAAGAAAAATAATCGGATGATTGTCTTTAGATATTGATTCGTCATCCAAATACATTTATTATTACCATTCACGGTTTTCTTTCACTTCTATTGCGTCTAATAAATCCATTGATCTCATGCATAGTATCACCTCCAATGTATTGAGATCCGATATTCAGTTCGGTAAGTGTCTAGGTGAAAAAATGAAGCTAATGACACGATACAGTTGAAGAGATAGTGACAATTACTCTATTATGTTGCAATGCATCACTGAAATGTTGTCCTCCGACATATCCAATATCATTACACCAGAGGTCTAGTGTGGTAAGTGTCTAAATGAATATGTGAAGGTAAAGATACGATATAGATGAAGTCATAATAAAAAATACTGTGTTGCATCGTAATGCATCGGCCAAATGTTGTGCTCCAACAACTTCGCAGCGAATATTACCGAGATTCAGTATAGTGAGTGTCTACATGAAAAAGTGAAAGTAAAGGTCCGATATAAATGAAGAGAGAATGATAATTACCTTATTATGCTGTAATGCATGGGCCAAATGCTGTGCTCCAACATCACCCATTTGATAACTATTTTGGAGAACTAATGTCGTGAGTGTCTAGACGGATAAAACCGAGGTAAAGATACGATACAGTTGAGAAGATAACGAGAATTACTGTGTTATGCAATAATGCATCACTCAAATGTTGTGCTCCAACATATCCGATTCCACTTGACGCGAGCTGTAGTGTGGTAAGTGTCTAGACGAAAGCATGGAGGTGGAAACATGTTGCAGTTAAGGAGATAGTGACAATTACTGTATTATGTTGTAATGCATGAGCCAAATGTTGTGCTCCCACATCTCCGATTTCATTAGTGCTGAGATCTAGTGTGACGAGTGTCTAGAGAGAAATGGGCAAGTAAAGACGCTATATAGATAAAGAGAGAATGACATTTACTGTATTGTGCTGTAGTGCATGAGCCAAATGTTGTGCTCCAATCTCACCGATGGGATTACTTTGGAGATCTAGTGTCGTGAGTGTCTAAATGAAACAGTGGAAATAAAGACACGATATTTGAAAACAGAGTAACAATTACTGCGTTCCGTTGTAATGCATCAGCCAAATGTTGTACTCCAATATCTCCGATCTTGTTAAATTGGAGTTCTAGTGTGGTGAGTGTCTAGATGAAAAAAGTGGAGGTAACGACAGAGTATAGCTAAAGCGAGAGCGACAATTACTGTATTGTATCGTAATGCATCAGCTAAATGTCGTGCTGTAACATCTCCGATTTTATTAGTTCTGAGATTTAGTGTAGTAAGCGTCTATATGAAAAAATACAGAAAAATATACGATACAGTTAAAGGGAGAGTGGTAATTACTCTGTTGTATAGTAATCCATCACCTAAATGTTGTGCTGCAACATCTCCGATATCATTATATCCAAGATTTAA